TATTAATTACTTTTTTATTTATAATAATTTCGATTTAGAAAATATAAAGAAATTAAATAAGTACCTAATAAAAGAAATAGAAGAAAAGTATCTAAATATATAATATTTAACTAGATAAATAAATACTTTTAGCTAGATAATTTATAAGTTTGAAATTATAATTAAATAATAATTCTCGAATAAAATAGTAATTAAAAAATAGCTTAATAATAATCTACTATTCGAAAAACCTTTTATTATAATTTTAATAAGCCTAATTACTATTTAGAACGAAATATACGAGAATAGAATCTTTTATAAAGTTATTAAAGTTTTTTACTAAGAGCTTTCTTCTCTTATTAAAGGCTAATTTAAAAATATTAAGGGTAATACAAAATTTAAAAGAGTTATTTATTTAGAATATATTAGTATAATTTATAATATAATTCGCTATAGTAAGCTATTTTAGTATCTAGCTATAAAGGCTAAGATTAATTAATAGTTAAAAGAAGATATTAAGTAATAAGAAGAACTATATTATATTTAGTATAAGAATATAGTTAAGCGGGTTTGAATTACTTTTAAGTAAGTTCAAGAATATAAAATAAGACTATTTAAAAGTAATAGATTATATTTTCGGTATATTATAGAGAAATTAGAAATACTAGTAAAGAAGAATTCTAACTATTTTATTATTTCAGACTTTAAATAGGGATTTTCTATTAGATTTTAATATTTAGAAGATAAGTATAAATAAATAAGAAATTAGATATAATATAATAAGCCGTACTTTATTAAAATCGCTTTATTTTAATAGTTTTAATATTTTGGTTATATAATAAAGGCTAGAGCCTTTTATATATAACTTGCAAAAATTATATAAAAAAGCTAGCTTTTCTATAGTTCTAGATAATAATCCCTTCTTTATATTTAATTAATTAAGCTTTTATATACTATATACTATTTATACTTTTATTTCTATTATTTTATTATTAAGTTACGTTTTATACTCTAGTATACTTTATATAGGTTTTTATCTTATTATAGTTTTTCTCTTATAATAGCTTTTAGCTATTAGTCTTTATTTTATTATAATATTTCGGAAAACTATTATTAAAATTATTAAAATTATATAATAAGAAATTATAACTTTATAAGAAATCTTTATTTTAGTTTTATAAATTTAAAAGTTTTAATTAGTATTCTAATAAATAATTAGTATTTAAAAAATAAATTATTAATTTTTTTAAAGTTAATTAATAGACTTTAATTTTTTATTATTTATATATTATAAATACTTAATTTTATAAATATTATTAAATTTATAGCTCATTTATATAATAGGCTTTATAAAATATATATATATTTACCTTTTATTTCTCGATTATAAATATTTAGAAAATTTGTATTTATAATAGATTTATAGAAATAGAATTATTAATTTAATAATAATTAGCTAAAAAGCTATTATATTTTTAAAAGAGTTATAAAATAAAATAATACTTGTAATATTTGAATTTAAATAAAAAGTTTCTTGAGTTTTATTAGAAATCTTTTAAATTTCTTCTTAACTTTTATTATTAGTTAATTATTATTTAATATTTTATTCTCGAATTTTTATAAATAAATAAATAGTAATTTCTTAATTAGTTAATAATAACTCGATATTTTACTTTCGAATTTTAATAGATTTATAAATAATAGGCTTTTATATTATATAAGGCAGGCTTATATTTTACTTTAAAAATTCTATAGAATTAGATATAAATCTTTAATATCTAATTAATAATTCTTATATATTTTAATATTGAATTAATAATATTTAAAGTATTTATAATATTTAAATATTTTTAGATATAGTAAAAAGGTAATATATATAATAAGTTAGATTATTATATAATTAGAAATAAAAAGATTAATATATTTAATAAAAAAATTTATAAAAAAAAAGAGATTATTAAAAGACAAATTATTAAGGAAGAAATTATTAAAAGAAAAGTTATTAAGGAAAAGGTTATTAAGAGTAAGATTATTAAAAAGAAAATTACTAAATAATATTTAAAGAAGCTAAAAAAATATATATATTAGTTACTAAATCTAAAATAAATAGAAAAAGCTTAAGGAAATATAAATAAATTTATAATAATTTATTAAATTGAGATCTAGAAGTTATAAATACCTTTTTTATTAATATATTTATTTAGTTATATTACTTTTATATTTTATTTCCTTTTTTTCTTTTTTGCTTTTCTTAAAATAAAATATTTTTAAAGAATTAAATTAAAAAAATTAAAAATTAAAAATTAGTAATAAATTATTAAAAATTAGCTTATTTAAAAGTAATATCTAAAAGTATTACTATTAATTATACTAAAAGTAAAAGGGCTTAGATTTTAAAAATATCTTTAGCTTTAATTTCTAAGCAAATTTTAGATTTTTAATAAAAAACTTATTATATATATTATAATATATTAGATTCTAAAATATATATTATTTATTATAATATATAAAATTAATTTAATACTTAATTTATAGCCTTTTAGCCTTAAATTAATATAAAGTTATTAATAATATAATATTAGTTTTATTAAAATATATTATATTTTCTTAGTTTTTAATATTATATATATTTACTATAAAGTTATAACTAATTTTCTATATAATTAATATATAATATATAGCTATAAGCCTTTATAAATCTAATATTATATAGTTATTTTAATATCTAATTTATAGCTATTTGCCTATTATTAGATATTGAATTATTAATTATATAATTTTAATAAAGAAGCTTTTTACTAATATATATTTTTTAAAACTGCCTTATTTATATATTTGTTTTTTAAGTATTTAATTTTAAGAAACTATATTTCTTTATATTTAGATCTATTATAAATATTGGAACTTGCTTTTTATTTCTTACTTATAAAGTTTTTATAAAAATATTATATAAAAATTAGATTATATAACTTAAGGAACTTTATTTTAAAAAAGGAAATTATATTTCGAAATATTTTCTAATTAGTTCTATAAAAATATTAAAGAACTTTATTTTAATCTATAAATTATATTTCACTTTTCTTTAAATTACTTTTATAGTAATAGTTTTCGATAGACTAGTAAAGTATTTCTATATTTCCTAATTAGTTCTATAAGAACTTTAAGGAACTATATCTTATATTTATTTAATTTTTTAAAAGGGTTTCCTTTATTTACTAATTAGTTTTATAGAAAATTTAAGGAATTATATTTCTTCTATATTTTCCGAATTATATCCTATATTTATTTAAATCCCTAAAGGGATTTTACTAAATCTTAAAGAAAAAACGGAATTTAAAGCCTCTATTACTTTTCTATTAATTTCCCTTACTAGTTCCCTTAATAAAGGGCTATTATAAAAAAATAGATCTATATATTATTCGAGTCTTAAAACTATATTAGTAGCTGTATTTATAGCTTATATAAAAAATTATATATAGCCTATATATATCCTAAAACCTATTTGAAATATTTATTAGATTAAAAGATTATATTATAGAATTAGCTTAATAAAAATTAAAGTAGCCTAAAAAATAAATAAAATTAAAAGAATAGAAGTTATAAATTAAAATAAAATAAATACTAGCTTATATTAGTATTTAAGGAAATAAAGTAATAAATAAAATAACTAAATAAATAGCTAAACTAAATATAGAAACTAGTTATATAAATAAGAATATATTACTTATAAGTAATTTTAAAGACCTGAATTAAAAGGCAAATAAGAGCCGAATAAATAAATAGCTAGAAAGTAGAAATAAGAGCAAAAATTATATTTAAATATATTTTATAGCTATTTTATAATATTCTATAATTATATTATAGCCTAAAGAAATCGAAGAATATTTTGCTTATTTAAATATATATAGAGAAAATTGGCTAAAAAACTTTCTATAAAAGAGAAAAGTACTAGAAATTAATAATTTTAGATATAACTATAGTAAAAAAATAGTAAATAATAAACTATATTTTACTAAGATATTAGATATATAATAATATATAGAGAAGTGTATTTGAAAGGAGAGGATATATAGATCTAAGGGTAATCTTAAACGAGTCAAAACTAGTTATAAAGGCAATTAGATTTATGGAATAGATATGCCTTCTTGAGCAGTTTTGGAGTTGTAATACAGAGCAAAGAAACGAAGTGAAGTACTTGGGGGAGACTAAAGGTACAGAGATACGAGATGGCTAGCAGAAGCGGCAGCCAAAGAGCCTGATATACTATTACAGGATAAAGCAAAGTACTCCTACTTAAACGCCTATATAAATAGTTATAGATAGAAGCCAGACCGTCCAGTAAAGAAGGTTTCTGGCCACTGCAAAGTAATGAAGTGAAGTGCGAATTACCGAATGTGGTAATGTACACTTCGGCAACTGGCGCCGAAGCTGGACTATGACGGCATAGCAGTCCTATGGTGGGCAGCTGGAACCGAGTATAAATAAATGAATAAATGAATGAATAAACAAAATTGCCCTTCGACTTTGGATTTTAAATTAGTACTGAGACAGCGTCAAAGTCTTCCAGACAGGGCAGGCGAGGAGTAGGTCGTCGGGAGTAAGTTGCAGGAAGTATATCGTAGAAAGCCAGGAGTGAGGGTAGACTTTGGAAAAGAGCTAGGAAGGATTGACGAGCGACGGTAGACTGTGTGCTGGTAGGTGTTGGACATAGGTCTGAATTTCCTTGCTGTGAATGTTACAAGCCCTTGCCAGTTGAACCTGACTGGCGTTATTGGTTGAATAAAATTGGTTTATGTTTGGGGTGGAGGCTGTGCCATGCGTATACCTGCAACCACGGCTGGGAGGTCTGGATCAAGTTGTTTGGGGTGGAGGCTGTACCATGCGCATACCTGCAACCACGGCTGGGAGGTCTGGATCAAGTTGTTTGGGGTGGAGGCTGTGCCTCTCCATGGCACACTCTGCAGTGCGTCTTGGTTTATCTCCTCGCACGTCTCGTGCCTTTAGACTTTCAATCTTGACCTCTAATTCTCTCATCGCTATATATGTTCGATCATTGTATCGTATCAGTTAAAGTTGTTCAGGAACGCTACACTCATGTCAAATGTCTGGACGAATCGTGGTACCATCACCACGACGTTTACCCCACCTTCATCATGCTTCACAACCACCTTTGACACGGTCGTTACCGAAATGTCCTTTTTCCACGTTGCGCATTGGGGCGGGTACGGCAAAGGCTACGGTGGATCATGCTATCCCAGCTCCGCGTCAACCGTGACGTTCGGCACCGCAGCTTCGGAGTCTGCCTTTGGCAATTATTATTACTCTCCCGCGTTCATCTGCCCAGCTGGATGGACCACCGCAAAGTCACTAAGCGTGGACCCTTCCTCTGGGTTGACGACGAGTACTGGCGTGTCAGCGTATCTTTGCTGCCCGAGGTAAGTCATCACGCGAGCCTTGTACATCAGACGGCTAGGTCTATATGTATCCAAGGTCTAGATCCCGATACTGACCATATCAGCGGACTGGCGTGGAGTTATGCGGGATATGCGCCATATCATCAGTGTGCTGTGACCACTATTCCGGGGAACGTCCTCTACAACGTCACCTTAACAGATGCCGGTTTATCGTACGCTTCTTTATCAATCTCCGCAGTCACGAGTGCTGTTGTATCTTGTGATGGCATCCCAATCCTATACGATCAAGCGGACTTGGCAAGTTTCCAGCGTGTTCTTTCGACCACAACATCGTCGTCGCAAACACAATCATCCAGCATTTCAAAAATGTCAAGTATTCCGCCGCCCACTGGGACTCCTTCGGGTAACTCAGGTCCGACAGGCTCAAAGGGACTCTCTTCCGGGGCCAAGGCAGGCATGGCTATCGCAGCAGTCCTCGTCGTCTTCGCCATCTTTCTCTTCCTCTTCCTATTCATCCGACGGCACAGGAAGCAGCAAGCTACCCAACGAAGCGAGCACGCAGCGACCAGCACAGCAGAAGCGGACGAAAAAGGCGTCGTTGTATCAGAATTCCCCACCTCAGCAAATAAGCACGAGCTACCCTCTCCCTATCATCAGAACCAAGAACTCGAATCGCCTGACAACCGCGCCAAATACTCAATGGGCCACGAGCTCCATGCTCCTGTTCCCAGTGAACTTGGATCCTACGGCCCACCCTCCGGCCCAATAGCGCAGGAGAGCTCGGCGTCGAATTTACGGTCACCTGTAAGCCACAAGGCTGTACCGACAGAGATAGCAAAGGACGACGACCCCGAGCTGGAGCGTATGAAAGCCGAGATTGAGGCGTTGCGAGTCGAGAAAGAGCGTAGGCTGCAGGATTTAGAGGGGAGAGAACGGGAGTTGAGCAGGGCTATTGTGGCGAAATCTCGGACGGAGATGAGAGGGAATCTGGGCTGATCATAGAATAGACGGCCTGGTAGGAAAGATAATGAATGCTGCTAAGATTAGAGGAAGGAGTATTGTTAGCGTGTGGCAGTTAAGATGTACCCGTTGAGTCACATGATTGACTCATTTGGAGTGATTGGCTTTTCTGCCTAATTTGCAGTACTGAGGTTTACTGCTGCCTGTCGTTCAAATGCTCTATATAAGCATCAATAACTGTAGTCTCAATGGGATAACTCAAACCAATTTCTTGAATCGTTCTATGTGCCACAAAGCGCGTCAATACCGCTTACCTAAAACCTGTGTTGTTAACGAGCCGGGCTGCACGGGTCTGTGCTCTACAGGGCATTTTTTACATAAAATCATTAAAATTAGGCAACAAAACAGCATTTAATTAGGAGTAGACCAGCCATGACGTTGCATAAGTACAGTAACCCAATGTTCCTGCTTTAAAACCAATTGATTGATCCAATATTGAGGGATTGCATCCCTTCTTCTAAAACAGCTTGGCGCATTTCTGCCACAGTTGTGGGTTGATGCAGACGACGATGCAATGCTTGTTTGAGGCGACGCTAGCACTTTTCAATTGGATTCATATCAGGAGACGTAGAAGGATGTGGTAGGGGGATAATGCCGAAGAAATCACAGCGGAAAGCTCTACGGGATGTGATCAAAGCTGCCGCGGACAAAACAGACGACAGTGAAGACGTTGCCCTCAAGCACCTTCTTCGGCGGTTCTTCTTTGCTCTGATCTGTCACGTCGTTGGTAGTGTGCCATTCCGGTCGCCCATCCTAAGCTTCTGTGCCATGCTAGGCAGGTCAGTACGCATGAGTAAGGTTGCTGAAGGAGAGGAGATGAAGACCAAATGGCAGGGGAAGGAACCAGGGATACTCAGCAGCCACTTGTCAGCCCTTACCTGGACAGCCCAGCTTCTCATCTTCGACTACGCCTGTTTTCAAGAGCAAGAGGACGAGAACCAGATTCCTGTCTTTTTGTCGAGGATCTGTAAACAGTTCTTCCAGCAGCTCGCTGAGACTCCGTTTGGGCACATCCTCCAATGGAGGCTGTATTTATTTAAGACCAATAAGCGACAACTTGCCAAACACCAAGCGCGGTGGTCTCTTGACAAGCAGACAGTCGGATACCGAGGGACAGATCTCCATATATCGCATATCCCGAAGCTTGTTTTGTCAGAACATGAGCAGACATAGTCAATATTATACTAAGATCTCTTATTCCAGGCCGGTGATCTCATCCCACTCCAGTCATGGAAACTAAAAGACGATCTGAGCATGCTAGATTTTAGAGAGTCTTGGCCCACCAACCCGGAGAACGTAGAGCTGCTCAAGGGTTCCGAGGTGACACTCTTGCAACACATACAAAAAAGTTCCGAACTTCGGTCCATGTTCCTGGTTGATGACCCAGATGGTACTATAGTTTTCAACCTTGGAACTATAAATGTCTACGAGGCAAAAATTCAGGACTTTCTCAAGCGAATGCTCGTCTTGTGTTATATTACAGTAGGCCAGCCATTGCGGGAGCCAGAGTATCTATTTATATTGTGGTATAACACGTCACGACAGAAACATATTATAATCTGGGAGAAGTTCGTTATAATATTTATACAGTATCACAAGGGGCGGCAGCAGTCTGGCGCCTACAAGGATAATATCCGTTTCTTGCCTAAAGACCTTGGAGATCTCCTGCTTTAGTATGTGACGTATGTTCAACCGCTCCGCCAAGTATTCCTCCGGCAACGAGAACCCAAAGCTTTAATTTCGCCGTATCTTTGGACTATACTTGATGGCAAAGTATGGCCTGATGGAACTGTTGCGGCTTGTCTGAAAAGGGTATGTGCTGGTGCTGCTGCTCGTGCTCAGATTCCTCAGCTACACACGTTGCATTAGCTTCACTTCTTAACTACAATCTATAAGGAGAAACTCTCTACTCGAGACAATGCAAATTTTAGTAGCCAAGATATATTACTTTAGAAAATATTGAGGATGAGCTCGATCTCGCAGCCCTTGTTTTTCAGAGTAATCATAACTATGCAACCTTCAATATGACGTACGCTAGCTCTACCACGCTCACAATAGATACTCTCCTCTATCGGAATCATCACGCTTCCAAGCTATGGCAGGATCTCTTCCGGTTTGATATAATTCTCCAAGGTAAGCGTGAGCGATCAGTTTCTGACGTGCTCTCGATTCGTATACTTGATGATATGAAACGGAGCCAGCAGCGGAAGAGGGTTGTATATTCTGAGACTGATTTTCTTACTATTGCACGCCGATACACTCCTGCTGAAAGCCGTTTTCGAGATACTGGTGGGTTATCTCCTGGCCTCCACATTATCACAATCCCATTAGCAACGACGTCCATGGTCGCGCTAGATATGCCTAGTGTCGTCCTACTTATTGTCCTAGCATCGGGAATCGAGGAGGATGACTCCAGCACAAAAAGGTCCGTCAAAACTTGTCCAGACGTAACTCTAGATTCACACCTTTGGGAAGCAAGGTCGTCGAAAATGCGTTGATTAGGAGGCGCGGAGAGTCCACTATGCGCCATCAGCATTCACGTATGAATTGAGAAGGGCATAAACGAACGCTGGGTAACACAGATAGGCTGATACATCTTTACTTGAGGGAAATACCACAGGTATAGATATTGCAGTCCTCCACCCACTGGGGCAATAGAATGCAGGCGAGTAGTAATCTTCCCCTGCTCCGTGGTACCATCGATAAAAGAAGCAGTACCCGTTCTTGATGGATAGCATTCTGTCCCGCCTGAGATCCAGTGCCCAACCTGTAGATACGTCTCACCTACAGGTGTTGTAAGGGAAAGACATGAGGCAGGCGGTGTAAATATAGTCGTGAGAGGACCACGATTGGTAAATTGGTATGCCATTGTATCAATTCGGGAAGAGTCCGATGCTCTACGGTGCAAGGAAATCTGGCGGACGCAGCACGCTTAATATGCTGCCTCGAATGGACGTGATAGCCCCCAATACTACTTTGCTTTGCAAGTTGACACGAATTGAGCCACTAGAAATTTGTGGGTTCGCTCATTGGTGACGAGAGACGCCTCCATCTGCAGCTCGACATTAGCGGCGGCAAGGAAGTGTATGCGGGGCCAAAAACCCCGCTGTTCAATAAAAACTCGCTGCAACTCACACTTTTGTTAGAGAAGAGTCTACAAGTTCTCGATTACTTACACACCAACATGACTAGTTCTTCAGGATTAGCTTGTTAGAAGAGATACAAGCTTTGCGAAACAGAAAGTATGAGATGAGGCATACCAGCAATAAACAACGTAGATTGGGGTTCCCCTCTGTCAGGTGAATCTTCAAGGTGTCGATACCCTATTTCAGGGCATCCTTCGTCCTCTCAATGCAAGCCTCAACCACATCCAACACCTTCTCATCCACCAAAGACGTATCAGGAATCACAGTTCCCAACCCACGAAATACTTGTAAGATTACATCATCGGCGCCCATAATCGCGTCAAGTATACTTTGCCTCCCTCCTTCAGCCACTCCCGGTAGCATGTTTGAAAAACACAACCCTGATGTCTGCACTCTTCAAGTTCTCCAGCTCCCTTCTCAAGACACGGAACGTCTGTGTTCTATGATACGTGCTCGAACTTGCCCGCCCTTCCACGACAACCCCAATCTGCTTCACCAAGGTCCTCCTGTCTCCGATGTTATCCGGCCAGCTGGTTGTTGAAATTAGGGGCCTGAGGCCCCTAATAGGCTTAGTAAGCCCTGGAACCGAACGCCATGGGGCTGTGCACTAGCTTAATACCCCGTCCAGCTGGAATACCCTGTACAGCTGGAATACCCTGTATAGCTGGAATCGGTTCAGCTGGCATAGGGATTTAGTGCATGTGATTTAGGGGGTTCAGGGCTATATATACGGGCTACTTACCACTGTAGAACAGCATTCAATTCAGTACGTTTTACTTGGCTTACATTGCAAGCACGTGACCCTAGCTTTATTACTTAGCTAGTTCAACACTGGTCACGCTGGCAGCGGTCATTCTCGCAGGAAACTGGAATGTGAAGTCGCCGCTGTACAACATGTCTACAGCCTCGGAATGAATTGATGGTTGATGCGTAACTGCCCGGTCATTGGTTCTTTGCCCCAGGTGCCGTGGATACGAGGTTTAGGTCGGAGTTGCAGGTGATAAAGGGGTTTCTGTATAGTGTATACCATAGTGCAAGCGTCACCTCGATGTCGGATAAGCTCTCGCACCTCCTATACGCAGTAACATATTGCTATAAATGCGTACTTGAGGATCTGACTACAGATTCCGACTGGGAGGTTGAGAAGCGTTGGAGCAGTGTGGGGAAAGGTTTCCGTTGTCATGACGACCCCGGGTTTGGTGCTGGGAGAGCGAATTAGAACCGCAGCTTGCGCTACCATTTACGGATCTTCTAAAAAGACCGCACAAGCACCAAACTCCTGAAGAGAGCGAGTAGGTCTGGTAGTTCAGCTTCCCACCGCCTGTCGGAGGGATCGGCTCGGGTCCGTATTAAGGTGTACTCCGTAGATTGCGTTGCATGGCTAAAACGTCCTGAAATTTCGATCTTACCTCGTATGCAGGTTCTCAGGGGCGTGATACTCTTGCCGCCGCCCGTTTTGGGGCCGGTGTCCTTTTCGCAGCTTCTTAGAGGCCCGTCCGTCCGTGTAGGAGCGGAGCGAGTCTGAAGTCAGACCCAATCAGTCGGGTTTACGAAGACCCGGGCTGCGGCACACCGTTAAATAAACGATTCGGGCGGTCAGCCCTACTCAGCCCTCCCGCCCTAAGGCAAGAAGAATCTTAAAATAGCCGGGGGTCATCCGGGACAGGCCTCGGCGAAGACGAGCAATTTGATGTTGCAATTTGCAAGGTTACTCGCACAGGTCAATGCGTTAGGCCCACTCCTCTATGCTCCAAAGCTCCACAGGGGGATTGTTTGTAGGGCGACAGAAGAGCGATCAAGGTTATCTCGTTATCTTTTTCTCTCGCAAGCTCCAGCCAAATGAGAATTTAATAAGTCTATTCAGTCTCCAAACCGCATGGTACGGAGCAAAGTTGATGTGAATAAAGGCTTCAAACGAGACCAGGGACTCTGCCCGCAGACCGGAAACTAATGCGAGTTTCGTCTCCACACCTGGGCAGACGCTCTTACCTCCCCGCACTTTTTGGCCCCCGACCTGCATTTCGCTGGTTCTTAGAGCAGGAGCTCTTCTCTCTTTCGTTCTTTCCCTTCTTCGTCCTTTCATTCCTTTTCTCAGAAAGCTACACTGTCATTACCACTTGATTTTCTTTTTAAAACGATTGTTGCGGCATTATGCCGTGGTTGATGCTCTCGCTGCTGATTTTCGGCACCTCGCTATGCCTTGCAGTTCCAGCCTCACCCTCGTCCAGCGCACAGGCATCGCAATCCACAGCCTGTGGTGCTATTGTAAATGATCAAGGTAAGAGATATTGCGTCTCTCATTTTGGTACACCTGCTAATAATTGAACGGAATAGAGAACAGTGTCTTCAATGCCAGCTTTGTCTATGAATGTCTCACAAGCGTGCCTTTTAATCCGGCTGTTGCATCGCAATTTCTGGACTACTACAATGACACGCTCCAATTCCAAAGCACTTTAACGTACCTCAAAGACCCGCCGCGCAGTTATCAGCAGCCTGGGGTTGATTTGCTGGGAGGTCTAGCGGCTCTGAAGAAAGGCGTTGAAGACGGCATCTTCCCCAACCAATACGAATTCGAGGCCGCACTTCAGACTCTCCTCTACGCCTCGCACGATAGCCATGTCAGGTTGAATGCAGGCATTCTTGCTGCCTTCTCGTTCTCAAGTCCTCAAGAAATCGTCTCACTGTCTCTGGATGGAATTCAACTTCCTCAAGTTTACCTGGTAAAGGATCTTGCCGACAGCAACTTTCTCTTGGCTTACAAACCATCCCCCATTATCTCAATCAACGGCGAGGAAGTTGTTACCTATCTCACGAAATTCGCTGGGAAGAACTCCATTGGCATGATCGAGCCCCACGGAGACTGGAATCAATTAATGCGCAGCGCGGCTCAGGATATCCAAGGCTACCGCAACACCTTCACCACGGCGACCTTCTATCCTGGTGACACGATTACATTCAACCTTGGAAATGGCACCAATCTGACTGAGCGATTTCAGGCAACTTATTATGATCTAGGTGACACTGGGCCGTTGCAAACAGGAGGCGATTTCTACAACTCCTTTGTCCTCGGGCTTCTACCGGCTTCGTACGATCCAGACTTGGTCGACAACAATACTATTAATATCACCGCTATATTAGACGACCCTGGTTCATTCGATAACGCGACGACTGCATCACCAACTGCAGCGCCGAGTGCGGCGCCAACAGCTTCCATTTCATCCGAACCAACATGTGGCAGCTGGTTCAATCTTGCGTATCCAGACTGCGCAGATACTTTCCAAAACGATCTAGGTACCTACGGGGGAGGCTTCGTATCCGGCTACTTTCTCAACAGCACGCAGGTTGCCGTCCTCAGCATCCCCTCTTTTGACGCTCTAGAGCAAGAAGCCGGCACTTTCGACTCTGCGATCCTAGATTTCATCACGACAAGTCAGAAAGCGAACATGAAGAAAATCGTCATTGACCTTCAATCCAACTATGGAGGGTCCCCTCTTGTGGCAGTTGATACGTTCAGGCGGTTCTTTCCAAACATCGACGCCTTCCAAGGTTCTCGCCTTCGAGCCCATCCTGCGGCAAACGTGATGGGAAACACCATAACGGAGTACTTTGGACTTTTTGAAAACACTGATGAGATGTACGCGGATCTGATTAGCAATGAATGGGTAGCAACGACCAAGATCAACGCCGATACAAATCAATTGTTCAAATCTTGGCCAGAGGAATTCGGCCGCCCTCAATCCTTCGATGGAGACAACTTTACAACAACGCAACGATATGATCTTGCGGACACCTTCTTTGACTCCATAGCGGTGGATGATCAAAACAAAACCTTTACAGTCTTTGGATATGGGTCAAATGCAGCTCCTGCAAACGCTGCTCCAGCCTATGCTGCCGAGGACATCATTATCGTAAGTCTTGTCGCACAATCCATCTTCAGCAGCCCCTAACATCCCAACCAGCTTACCGACGGAATCTGTCACTCGTCCTGTGCCCTCTTCGTCGAAATGATGCACCACGAGGCTGGCGTCCGAGTCGTGGTAGCGGGTGGGCGACCGGAGACAGGGCCAATGCAAGGAGCAAGCGGTAGTCGCGGAGCAAGCATCTACTACACCTACGAACTCGACCAAGACATCCAATTCACGCAAGAAATCTTGGAAGAATCCATCTTCGACTCCTCGTTCGCGAACCCCTATTTCCTGCCCAACCGCACGACCGAGCTCACAGTGCAGGTCTCATACGCTTCGATCAACCTGCGCGACCAGGTGCGAGCAAACGAGACTGTGCCGCTGCAATTCGCCTACGAGGCCGCCGACTGCCGGATCTTCTACACGCCCAGCACGTTCTACAACTACAGCGCGCTCTGGCAACACGCGGCCGACGCGATCTGGGCGAACCCCAGCCTGTGCGTGAACGGGTCAACAGGCTTCGCGTCCCAGGCAGGCGCGAAGAGCGATCTCAACGGTCCATCCGCTGACTCTAACGCGGGCACGGTAACGGCGAGCGATATCCTAGGCCACCTGAACACATCCGACACGTCCTCGCTCCCCTTCCTAACACACGACACCAACGGGCTCGACGACGGCGCCGACCCGGTCTCCAAGGCGAACCCCGTCAAGCGCTGCAAGAGCAACGACGACTGCGCCGCGCTGGGGAAGTCGCACCACTTCTGCGCCGTCGTCCCGCTGTGTGACGCGAACCTCAACCCGACGGTGACGACGGGGCTGTGTCTGAAGAAGTGCTCGAATGGGCCGCAGGGCGCGCCGGAGTGCAAGGCCGCGGAAACGTGTCTGCTTTCGCAGCTCATTTGTGATAAGCCCGGCCATTGTGTGAGGGAGAATTCGACGCCGAATAAGCAGGCGTTGGTTCCTAATAGTGCGGCGACGGTCCCGCAGGGCGTTTGTGATCTGATATGTAATGGTAAGGGTGGATTGAAGGCTGTGAAGAAGTCCGGGCCATCGTGAGAGTGCGGTGTGGGGTCGAGAATAATCAAGGGAGAGGAAGCGGCGTTGGATCATAGAGAAAATTCTGGGAGATTTTCATTGCAACACAGTTAGTTGCTTACTTCACTTCTTGCTAAATATATAATAAGAATACCTCATCCCGTTGGAGAGAGACAAGACTCATTTCTCTTCTCTACTCCCATCGACCACGAACCTTGCTGTTCACTCCAAGATTATGCTCACCTCTTGCCCAACGGCTGCTGCCTCTCCATTCATAATCCCATGCACATACGCCTCCCCCACAAACTCCCATTTCTCACCCGTCGCGTCCTTGGCTCTCAACACCACCGGAACGGCTGCCCCAGCCAACACCCACACCACATCCCTTTCCGTATCCAACGACTGCGCGGCGATCCCAAGGAAGTTTTTCCTCGTCCGAAACAGTCTCCGGCACTGATAAGCGGCGTTGAAGCTCTCCATGATATTCACAAGATCCTCGTGCATTTCTTCCGGGTAAACACCATACTCCTTTTTAAGCTTGATTGCGTGCCGAATGGATTTCCAACCCGGGATGACCGAGTTGTCCAACGCAGCCAACTTGTTCACAAGCCGCCGCGTGCGGGAATAGATTTCTGAGAGCGTGCGGAGTCGGGTGTCCTGTGTGATGATCCCGCTCTTGTTGACGGGGTTCTCGAGCGCTTTTCGCATGGACTCGATCTCGTAGTCCATTTCCCGAACAAAGTGTACGATGATCATTGGGAATGCCTTCCTCGCCTCGGACCCAGCCGGTCTCCCAAGAAACGAGTCTTTGATCAGCGTTTTCCAAAATGCCTCGAACCTATCTTCTGTTGTTGAAGTGCCAGAAGGGTTTGCAGATTCGAATTCCAGATATCGAGATAAGATATCCAGTAAAGTAACCATCTGGCACTCGTCAATTAGGTTTAGATCCGTTTCCGCACAGTTCTCGATGTCGTCAACGCGAATCCCCTTCACTAGGAGACGACCGGAATTCGTCTTGAGAAGAGGGAGTGCGAATGGCAACGCTTCCCCCGCAGCCCAACGACTCATGCCCGCCGGCGCAGGCGGAACCCCAGCTAAAGGCGTCCACACAAGGGGAGCACTGAAGTCAGGAACCCAGGACGGGAGACCGGGAAGTCTGCGCCAATTCTTATCTTCCACGAGCGAGAGCAAGTTAAGATTTTCCGTCTCGCGAATCGAAACGATTGAGGCTCGCTCGTAGACTTCGGCAGGAATGCTGTTCTTCATGATGAAGACCGCTGTCTCGTCCTCCACATCGCCGTCTCTTTTCCTCTTCCAGCTGCTCGGTTTCCACATGTTGAGGACCGCAAAGACACGATCTTCAGCTTTCGTGGCGCCGAAATATCTACTGTCCGCCAAGAGCCGCTCGAGCGTCAGCGGTAATGCCTGGGTCTTGTAGTCGTGAAAACGGAACTGGTTGGCGATGGGATTGCTGATGTATTGCGACGTCGTGCTTGGCTGGCCGATTGTCCTGTCTCTTTCTTCCATCGCTTCGTTGAGTAGTGTTCCGAGGCTGGTTGACTTGAGGACCCGAGATGCAGATGTGATTTGTGACCAGGGAAGGATGTTTGATCCACAGAAGACAATGAACTTCTTCGCGAAGAAGGTTTCTTGTACAACCCACATTCGACCGAACCATCTGCGGAGGACGAACGAACCGAAGCACACCCATTCAGTCTTTGAAATGAATTCGATGCCGAGGTTTTGATAGGTGTCGGCATTGCCTAGACGGGATAGCACTGCTGTCTTGAATTTCTCGGGCGGAATCTGAGAGAGTCGTTCCATGACGAGGAGGGCCTTTTTCAACCTTGGATCATCAGGCATTTCCGGGCCCAGCCAAACGACTACGCTCTGAGCGCGGGCATAAATCCGACTCATCATCCTAATCTGAATTCCCTTTTCATATTCGTTGTCTTGATTTATGCACACTGCGTCAATCCAAATCTTATCCTGTAGACCTTGAAGGCCTCCCTTGCCGCCGCGACTTTTACCGATTTCCACCAACGCATCACGCAGATTCTCAGCGATGTTGAAGGTCTGGCCGTTGCAGTCGATAGGGTAAGTAAGATTCTTCTCGTACACTCTCGGCATAAGGAGATATTTCTGGTAGAGAGGTTCCTCCCATGTGTATGAGAGGCAGTCGTAATTCGGGTTTCTGTCGAGCTCCGCCGCTTCGAGGGTGCATTTTATTTGATCGTCGGCGGGGGGGTTACTGATGATGGAGAGATTACTGATGAGGCGGATGGATCCGGCTTTCAATGGGCCGTATACGAAGGGTGCCATTTCCGGGGATGTAGAGACAGAGAGGAGAAGTGCTGCGATTCTGAAAATGTTCATGGCGAGAAGGGGATGGGGCCCACAGCTGGGTGGCAAGCATTCCGCCCCCAATCTGACACCATGATCATCAACCAATTGAGACCCGGATTCTAACGTCGTGTGCTGGGGTTGTAAGAGACCGAGAGCATCTGTGTCTGTCTAGAGAGGGTAGGGTGGTGAGCAGAATGGGTATCTGAGGATCTTGGCGGATCTCGGGCAGGCCCTGTGGTGGGAACGGTTGCCATTGCCCTGACGAGAGGGGAAAATGTAAAACGACACCCCCCCGGGTGTCGATTATATGAATCAGTGGATTTTAGAGTTTTAATAATGCCTAATTAGTTGCTTGTACTTACTTAAGTCTTTCTCTCGAATCAGATTTCCTAATATAGGTATAAGGAAGTTTATATATAAGAGCTCTAATTTGGGGCGTGGAACAGGCGAGGCGATAATTGCATACGAGGTAATTAGTTCCAGGCGCTTGATCGCTAAATTTTCAGGCTCTCATAGTACCTTAAAAATTCCGACTTTCCTTACCTTCTTTAAATTTTCTTAAATCTACTAATTATTATATAATAAAAACTTTATATTCTATTAGCTTATGATCTGGCTTTCTATAATATCAAAAAATAATTAAATTATAATAATTCTTTATATAGTAAATTAAACTTAAAGGAAAACTAGATTTTGTGGTGTTCCTCTCTACTTTAGGTTAGTCCGGCCCCCAATCGACCCCCGGGGGGTTGGGGGGGTCGTTTTACATTTTCCCCAAATTTGAGACATATTCCCTGCAAGAACTGACCGCCTGGCAGCGAGCAGTGTACCTTCCTGGAAGAACAGCCCGCCTTGCAGTCTGCCTTACTGCGAGTCAAATCGAAGATGCTTGACGCCCGACAGAGCAGTGGTCCACAGAATCAGCCACCAGTAGGGCTCGGATTAACTGGTAAGTATTACTGGTTCTTGGTCGTCTCGTCATGCGCGTAGATTCTTGTCGAGTTGCCATCCTGGATCACGACTGGATCGTCGCTGTGACTTCGAACTCATTGTTCATCATCTGTCAAGTTGTGCGTGCATTCGAAATGGCGGCCGGAACAAATTTGAGAACTGAGCCCTCGGAGCACTTGCAAAGGAAGATCATTAACAGCTTTTGGAAGAAAAGGCCAGCCGACATCAGAACTGTGGAATATATGTCGTATTTCCTCCATTACAACACCACTTGCCGAGCGTTGTTTCTAGGAACCATTCGTAGCGAGTCTATGGCAATTGCTTTACAGACTCATGAAGATATACTCGATGTGGTCAGCAAGATATGGCTTCTTGCAGAGGAGAGTCTCAATTTTGGCCGTCCGGAGTTACGAGCCTCACTCGCGCAGCTCGATTGCTTTGCTCAACAACCTTCATTCAAGATCGACAATTCGATCAATCTGGTGTTACGTCTTTGGTTGACAATCCGAATTCAAGACACGGACTTCAACCCAGCCGGCAAGACCATGCAATGGGATGATACATCGACATTCTCTGATTTCATGAACATACACTTCCCAGGACCGAGGCTGCAGGGACAGACTAACTCGGGAAACATGCTAGAAAGCAACTTCACAGCCGTCAATCTCTATCGAATGTGCGGTATTCGGATCGAGTGGATCAGCCACCTCGAAGATCACTTGACATTTGATATCGAGCGCCGGGCATTGATGGTGTATTCATTGGCTGGATGCCTTCAAGACCATATTGATGGGTACATATGAATCACCGACCCGAAATTAACTTCGAAGCTCACGTTTTTATGGCCGCACTATCCTCCCAACTTCTCTGGTTCGGGAGACATTACTCTCCCTCGGTATTCTATTCCCGACCTGGGATCTCAGAACCGAAAGATTTCTTTGCAATTCCCAGAATACACAACTCTATGATCATCCTTTTGAAAATCCCTGTCATGTCCATCTGAATGAGTTTTGGCATTGGAGGGACCGTCTTGCTCGGATCCACCATGAATTCCAAACCCCTGGACCAGGGTGGCGCCAACTCTGGTCCGATCGACGGAATCCATTGCAATGGTATACCTTTTGGTTTGCCGTCGCTATATTGATATTGACGCTTATTTTTGGTATAGCAACTACTGTTTTAACGTCTCTGCAAACTTTGTACACGTATCAAGGCCTGCAATTAGCTAGGCAAGCTGCGGCAACACCAGCAAGTGCTTCCTAGTAGACAATTAATTATGGAGTCAGGGCACTGTTATTGGGATAGATATTTCAATCATATCTGTACCACGTGGGTTCTGGGATATTTGGCCAGCTGCTTAACACTTATTGAAGCTTTTTGATTATTAAAGTGGGACAGATACACTGCACAAGATACAGATTTCGACTTTAGTAAGCTCTCCATAAAAGCAGTCAAAAAATCAGAAAATCACTTTTCGCTTCCGCGTTTTGTCCGCTAGCCAGGTCTGGGCCTCTATATAAGTGTGCGTGTCTAGGGATATGAAAGCAATGCAGGTACGTGACCAAATTCGCTGGACATAGTCTGTTTCTTGCTTGCCTAGAAAGATAGTTAGCGCGAGACATAGAGGAGAAGACTTCGCTCCTTCCTGCAAATTTATAATCCCCATACCACAAGCTTAAAACCTCTACTATATAGCTACTTGCCCTCACACTGTTCCTATGCTTGTAATAGCCCTTCTTTTCTTTTTGCCTTGTCCTCACCCCATTCATTCCCCATGTCGCCCAGAAGGAAGGCGAATCTTTGTTTGGGCTGCGTGATTATTCCCTACCCTCCTGACCACACCAACAACTCGCGATCCATCAATTTTCTCGAGGCCTACTACCGTCCTCTTCACCCCATCTTGCTTCATTTTCTCTTCCACTTCGCTATCCGTCATCATCGAGGCTATGGAAAGGTGATCTCTCGTCTCCTCAGTAACGGCTTGAGACAGCCCTTGCCAGGTATTGCCCAGCATGGAGAACCGGCTCTCGCGCGCAAAAACGGTCACGACGATGAGTAGCAAAATTATATGGAGCAGCAAGACAGTGCACACAGCCAAAAGCCCCCAGTAGCGTTGGGGAGTATTTGCAATGACGAAGTAATCCACCTCGGCTGTCTGGTTGTTGTTGAATTGAGCGATTTGGTCATAGTATGCCATGCTTGATAGCACAGTAATGATGGACTGCAAAGCAAAAGCTACAGAGGCGCCTGTGCTTACCATCTCCTGTACCAGCCAGACGTGCATTGGATCCGGGGCGATGAATTGAGGCTGTTGAGCAGTCGGCTGACTCGGCGGGCTGGCTTGCCACAGGATGGCGGTATAATTCCCGGCCATTCCAGATGTACCTCCAGCTTGGCCTTGCATGTTCGCGAAATCACGAACGAAAGGCTCGACAGGAGGCAGATCGGAGGCATCTGCTATCCAAGATGGTTTCTTCTCCAATTGTAGAACTCCCCTGTCTTCTAGAGATGCGGGATCGGGTCCTTGGCCAAGTTGATTTCGGATCTCGCTGAATGTGTACATCGAGTTGACCAAATCGAAGGAAGCCGCTGGTTCGGTCCGGTTGAAGTTGCTAGAAACCAAGACGGGAATATCTGCAGTACGAAATGCTGAATAGCATACAGTTACTCCGAGTACCAAGTCTCCTTTGGAATATACCAAATCCAGCCATTCTCCATTTTGGCTATATTCTGGAGGAGCAACAGGAGTCCCTCCCGCAACTGCATCCCAGGTATAACTTGAGCCAAGAGTCACGTTCAAGATCAGGTATGCCGCTCCATAGGCTTCCGACTCCTCGAAACCTGCAGAAAAGTTTCCAACTGCAGGTAAGACGTCCGCCACGAACTCTCAAGCCCCCAGCCTGGAAACCCGCGCCTAGTTGGCAAATTGCTAGTCTCCATCGGTTGACTTGGCTCGAATTAACCAGGTTGAACCCACTAAGTCCACTGGTAGGTGCATAACACTGAAAGGGGACCGATTCATTGTAGGTGGAGCGAAACATACTCCCTGATGGAGAAGGACTGGAACCAATGATTGAGTTCTGAAGCCTAGGTGTGATTGCGTTGGCTTGAAATGAGCCCTCCAGCAATAGAGTTTCAGTGTTGAGCACCTTTATGGTTTCATTGGAGAGTATTGGTACCTGGCAGGTCACACGCGCATCCAGTACTGTGGTTTTGCCGCTGTATGTTCGGATAGTCTGTCTGTCCTGAGCTGCGGGGAATGGAAGAAAGGCTCTCAAGGTCAGCCCTGTGTCGTCCACCCCGTGAGAAACAAAAGGTGGCTCGCTGTATTCTGCGAACGTCGGGTAGAATGGAGGCTTTCTCGACCAGGTAGTCCCACGTGTTAAGATCTCAGTTTGAGGGGCATTCGCCTGTTCGTTGCTGTAGTATGTGAAGCCGATGTTCAGCTCTGTTGAATTGGACTTCCCAGGGATCGACGATAGTCCAATATCACTAACTAGTACGACCGAGATGGCTTGAATCAGGCCCAGGATGGTGGTAGCCACAAACACCATGCCGGTCATCCCAATCTTCTTGCTGTTAAAGAAATGCCGATGAAATCTTTTCCGCGAGAGAAACAATAGTTGACCACTTCCAGTCCCAGCCCTCATGATTGAAATCGAAGCCAGCTGTGGCAATGGGACTTGGAAATTCTCCAACGCTAAAGCTGTCAAAATAGCACCGGCGACACCGAGCTGGAATGTCACGGCCTGTTTTATCACCTCGGAGGAGATTGTGACGGCTTTGACAAGCCAGTCTCGGACGATAATCGAGTGCCAGAATGAATTCCCGGAGTTGGCAAACCACAAAAAGCATAAAAATCCAACAGCCCCGAAGATCAACATCAGCCCGCATGCTAGAATGACTATTGCCATCTTGCCAAATTTCCGGGCCAAAGATGGGATTTGGATGACGCTGTTGTGAATTTCTTCGCTGCTGTTCTCTTGGATACGTTCTGGGACTGGTGAAGGAACTGGTGAAGGAACCTCGCTGTTCCTGACTTGGCCTTGACTGCCCGTCCACTGGGCCCCAACACTTGGGAGATGACTGCTCTCTCCATGACCTCTTTCCGTATTGCTCGCACTCCCCTGAGATGGGATCGAGGCTCTCCATTCTTGAAGCTCCACAGCCTCGTTATCTGGATGAGTTCGGTCAAGTAGGCAAGAACTTGCGTCGACTGCTTTGGCCTCCATATTCGTTGTCGGAGACCAAAGAACTCGAAAAGCATTAAATTGATGCCACTGGGTCCCATGCTTTTTACTACTAATAAACTTATGGGACTTGCCGGGCGGAGTCCTGGAGAGATTCTTGTGGTCTTTCGTGTAACACCAAAACACGAATCGGGAACCATATCGCTTGTTTTTTCCAGAAAGGGGTTGTCTAGATCCATTTTCCTTTTGTCTCAGCCGCCACATCGCACAAAGGGTGTGACAAGGCTGAGAGCTATGATATCATATACTTCAGATCGCTCTGGCTTCTCATCCATTTCCTCTGGCGTTCACACAAAGCTACATCGAAACAATTCAAGATGAAGTTCGAGTTGGCTCTGACTAGTTTTTTCCTCCGGGGGTGAGCATCATGAGGCTCTTCCTTCATTTGCGTCTCATTTGGTGACATCAGACAGCAGTGTTTTCTCCCAAGCCTGCTCAAGTGGAGTCTACGGCGCCCTAACCTGCGGCAGTCCCAGTGCTTCATATTGCGAATCAGCCAGTCTGGAGGGCAGCATCATTTTCCGATGTACCGATGGTTGTGGTACACCAGGAAAGTGCAATGATAAGTATAATTTTACCTTGCTCAACTGAAAGGTCTACGCAATTGACCAAACACTGGCCTTGCAGAGGCTCCTCCATATGGTGTCAAACAAGGGGCGCTCTGCTGGCAAGATAGTCCCACGGCGGGCGATGCGCAATGCACATTTGATTGCGTGAATGTTACTGCAGTAAATGGTAGTACTTTTTATCCTGTGGTAAGAGGCTCGACCTCGCTTTGGCTCTCCCTGCTTCACATCACTTCCTAACTCTCCTTCTAGTTGTACGCTAATGCGTAGTCTAGGGATGTAGCTTCACACTAGCAAACACGACAGCTCCTCCAAGCAGTGTGAGTCTGAACCTCCCAACCGCTGCCAGTACTCCGCCGAGCAGTACCACCAGTCAAGTAGCAACAACGCATACATCCAAAAGCGGAGTTGAGGCTATGCGTGTAGGCGGCGGTACTGCTATGATTCTAGGACTTCTAGGATTATTCTTGTAAAGTGAAAGATGCTTGGCTGGATATAAGTCCGGATTGGCATACGGGGATTTGTGCCTAGAAATTCAGAAAAGGAAATCCCGTTACTGAGCACGGACATCGAAAATAAAGCAGGAAAAGGGTGGAACTACCACCGAAGCTCTTGAAGAGAACTGAAAGGGTAGAATATGACTGAAAAAGACCAATGTATGGCTGTACTGAAAGGCTCAATTTCGCTTTTACGCTCAATTCATCATCCATCGTTCGTCTCCATCCCTAATATAATGTACACATCCTCGTCCATCACCTCTACTTCAATCTTCCCTCAACAGCCTTCCAGTTAACCACATCCCAAACCGCGCTAAGGTATTCCGCCTTACGATTCTGATACTGCAGATAGGACGCATGCTCCCAAGTATCAATACCCAGCAACGGCGTGAACTTGCCTACAACGAGGTCTTAATTGGCATATGTGCGGATCAAGACCTGTCCCGTCTCGTTGTCCTTGACCAGCCAGGCCCAGCCGCTGCCTTGGATACCGGCGAGCGGAGCATTAAACTTGGTCTTAAAGGACGCAAAGTCTTTATAGCTAGACTCAATCGCTGTCTATTTTTATATGTTTGTCTTGTGCCTAGTATATTATAATCTCTAAGCCATGAGTCAATTTTAAGAAGCATTAATAGAAGTAATAAACTTATATAAAGTATTTCTTATTATTTAAAAGAAAAATTAAAGTTTTACTAATAATATAAATAATAAATATAAATTCTTAATTATAATTTTAATTAATTAATAATAAAAATATAAAGTAAAGTATAATTTTGAAAGATATTAATTAAATAAGCTCATAAATATTCTTTATAATATATTAATTAAAAGTATATTAATATAAAGCTAAGCTTATAACTACTATATATAAATTTAATAAAATAAAAAGCTAATTAAAACTAGCTAGAAGAGAGCTTAAGTAAAGTATAAAAACTCTAGAATATAAGTATATAAAGCCTGATTAAATAAAGCAATCACGCTATACCTAAATGAGAGATTGTATTGCAATAGTATTGCAATAAATTTCAGTGTATTAAATAATTAGGTTTGATTTAATTAGACCCCCCTACTCAAATCAAATCAAGTCAAAATCAAGCTAATCAAATTATACTTAATTATAATCAAAGATAATCAAAGATAATTAATTAGATTTATCACGTGATTCCGCATATAACTCTGGAGCTTCGGAAGCCGAGATAAGGCTAAAATAAGGTCTGGGCTAGCCATATTCGGTATTACTAAAGGCACTCTTTACTAAACCAGGCCTAGTACTAATTAGTAAGCGAAGCCAAAGGCGCTAGAACCTCCTTAATATCCAGTAATTCCTTGCCACTAATAAAAGAGCTATAAATAAACCCTTATAGTAATTAAAGAAAAAGAAATGAGAAAATAAGAAAATAAGAAGGGGAAAGAGAAAGAGATTTCTAAAGAAGAAAACTATCAAGATAAAGTAATGTTATAGTAGTAGTAAAGAGCTTGAATTGAGCTATTTGCCAGGCTAAGGAAGTACTGGCCGCATTCTAAGTCACGTGCAATAATACTACGTGACTTGTACCACGTAACAAAAACTAGTTTATTATTTTAGATTTAGACTAATTTTATACTCTTATATATGCTCTATAGATTTTATTTATATTTTATTAATATAGCTACTAGTTATTTAATAATCTTTAAAAATGCCTAAGAAAGTATACTTTTGTATTATCACGTGATAATTATAGTTAATTATAATTAATTATAATAAAAATCAAGCTAATCAAATCATACTTAATTATAATCAATTCTAATTAATTCTAATTAATTAGCCTTGATTATTTTTTGACACACTGGCAATAATCCTCTACTTCAAACAAGAAGCCTCCGTGGTATAGATTTTGTATTAGCCATATGCACTCCATTACTACCAACTTCGAAGTGTCTCATCATGTTGTAGTTCTGGTCGTGAACATCGCCGCAAATGGTGACATCTAGTAGATTCGATTCTTGCATCAAGCGATTGGCGCCTTCTTCACCAATGAGCATAGTCAGATCCTCAGAAAATCCATCAGTATGGGAATGCTGCTCGTGTAGTAGGAGATTTCTCGAGGGTGCCTGGACCTCCTCCGTTGTGAAAGGCTCTTTGGCTAGATACTGCCGCAAGGTTTGAGACGAGCCCTTCCATGTCGATCCGGGACCGAAGGTTGTGTTCCTGGCCGTAAGTCTTTCGCCGGAGTCAGAGCATAGTTCGTTTGTGTGAAACGCCGTCCCAGGATGGCAGTAGACGAGATTACTTCGCTGCTCTAATTCAATCATCGCAATACCGATGTGCGAGCGAAAAAGATCGTTGTTCGCGTTGAGATTTGGGAATGGCTTATTGTTTGTTTCGAGGCATCTGTCACACCCTGGATTCGGATTCAGACTACACACGATCCTACGCATCAAGCAAAGCTTACACCAATTTCTTTTGCGAAGCGCATGTGCGCTTTCGTGTTTCTCGGGTGAAAACGGAGGCCTCTTTCTCATCACCTTCTTCCGGTCTAAACTAAAGGCTCCTTTCCAAGCTGCGAAGGAGTCGAGTGTCGCCGTAGTCCAGCATTGCATCTCACCTGACTGCATGTCCAGTCTTTCGACCAAGTTTCCCGATTTCTCGACGGCAGATTGTCTAATTGATGTAGATGAAAGCCCTACTGAGCTATCAATCATGATGTCCTCTGTCAAGTTTGATATAATCTCCGGGCTTGAGAATTGTGTTGATTCCGATCCGGGACCTCCAGTGTTTTTAGGGATATCATAGACATAAGTTTTAGGAATATGCCCCACATTATGATCTGGTAGAACTGCAATCGCGGGGTGATAAACCACTCCAGTACTAGCACTCTCTGCGAAAGTATCTTGAGTCCAGACAGGCGGAGGTAGATGGTGGTCTTCTATGATGCCTTCAACATCAGTGGGAAATGGCGGGGAGGAAGAACAGCCCCGGACATAATCGTGGATAAATAAACCAGCTCTTTCCTGCTGACCGAATTCCTCCAACGCGTCGTTCCAAACTTCGGAATCTCCAAGACGAGTAGACCTTTCTTCGCTACTATTGGAAGTTCTGGTACATTTTGAATCTGAGTCTCCGGACCTTCCTCGAAACGGCACCGGAGTCATCCATTGGAAATGGCCCTGGGCCTGCCATCGCTCATGTGCTTTGGTGATCAAGTGCTCTTGTGTTGGTGGATCGAATGTGATAGTCGTTTTGTGGCCAAGGTAAATCATGTAATGGGCTAGAGTTGCACAGAGATGCTCTTGAACTGATTGATAGAGGGGTATAGACAAGGTCGGGTCGATATGCTGTTGGATTATAAGCGAGAAGGTGTTGTAAAATGGAAGATAAGCACTCACTGAAGCATTAGCCAAGTTAGGCGTATCCTGAATTGGCTCCATGTAGCCCACCGCAAGGATGGTACCTAGCAGAATAAGGAATAATGCTTGTGAGTATTCAAGACTGCCTGTGCACTTCTCGAGTTCTGCAGGTGTTAGCCTCTTTTCAAGAGATACAAGAACACATTCTCCAGCCACAGATGTGATCTGTTGAAGTTCTCCATCACTGAACTGGGAGGTTTCCACGCTCTTGTCCTGATTGTAAGCCGTAGTGCAGGCGAGAAGCATCTGCTGGAACGAGCGACTCAGGTCCAATCCAACTTGGGCTTGAATGAGTCTTTGAAAACCTGTTGAGCACAAAATACCGACTTTGGACGTAGGTGACTTCGCAGGATCTACCAGCCAGGATGAGACGTGCCGCGATAGCGAGTTCAAGCTCCATTCAAAGTCCAATGGAAAGTTCAGTTCGATTGAGGCAGATATCAGGTCTTTCGCCTTTCACACGATTGTCTCTGTCTTCGCCTGTTGAGGCAAGCCTGTCGGCCAGCGATTAGTCTCAATGCAACAAAAATACCGAGCTTGGCGCCTACTGTAGCCAAAGATACTCAAATCTTTCAACGAAGCTCTGACGCAATACGAAAACTGAAGGTGCTTGCTCTGAGTCGACAAACTTGCCGCCTTAAGGCACGTTTGACATGGATTGTCTCCTGAGCACTGCACATCTCAAATTAGAACACTTTGGCGGGAATTTGGACGATGGCTACACTACGCACCCGCAACTTCAACAACCTGCATCTAAGACACGCTTTGCCTCTCAGTAGAGCAACCTCCTTTCTTCGCTGGGGCGTGAACTTGGCACGTTTGCGAGGATGGCTATCGTTGGTCTGGGGGAAATGCTCAAGCTCGAAGCATCCAAATGCTGTATTTGAGAGCTGCATGTGGTCCTGGGAGGCAAGCATGATGACTGAAAGCAATACTACAAATTGTGACTACAATATTGGTGAAAGAAGGTGGATGTCATCTCCATTTTATCTCAGGAGGTCCCGCTCAATATTGAAATAGCAGGCTTGTTTCGTTCTTAGCTGCCTGATTTTAGGCTCTGCTGTTCGGCCAATCATGGCGTTTTAAAACAAAGTGGCGCTCAACTCACCGAGCTGGCCTAATCGGGGTAGGCTGTCAAGTCACGTGAGTCTGAAACTCAAAAAGTGTGCTGCACACAAATTGGAAGCCAGTTTGCTAGAATTCTCCATAAGGCCGTTGTTTTGAAGATACTGGTAGCAGAGAAGTGCAAGGGAGAGAAGATAGGTATCCAGGCCTGGTAGTGCTCACCTGTTGCATGGCAGGATGGCACGTGTACGGATAAGCGAGGCTTCGCCCTACTTAGCTAGTTTTCAGACAGAGAACTCAATGAATCATCCTTTACTACATATACAGCATTCAATAATAGTAGCAATACCTTATTAACCATTTATTACAGGCTTCATACTAGCTTGCAATACAATCCGGATCGACCTCCCGCCCGTCGATACCATAATTACGTTATCTAAACACGCTTTAATACCAAGCCAGTTCCTAGCGGATATTATTAAGCTTATATACCAGCTTTAGAATATTATTAATAAGAACCTCAAACTTGCAGAGTCCATTGGCCCAGAGACTCGAATAGTAATTAAGGTAATCCTATATAATTATCTAGAAAGAGAATATACTCTCGAGTTATAATCCAGTTATTCTAATAGACTCTAATTACTCCTCAAACCCGATCTCTTCCTAATAGAGTAGCTTAATAGTAAGTATACCTTTAATACAGCCCTATAATAATTTATTACTATAGTAAAACCATTTACTATTTCCCCGCCTAATACAAGTAATTTACAAAGCCAGTAACAGATTTCCGAGAGCGGTACTATAGAGGAAATCACGAGGGAAGGTGTTCCTTCTAGTTCCGGTATATATATTACTATACCGGATATAAATCCTAATAATCCGGGAAGTACCGGGAACAGAAATAATAGTAATGGCCTCATACTAGATATATGAGAAAATATAGTCTAATTAATTATATAGACTATATAAGTATTAAATATAGGACAGAATAATAATAGTATATATTCCGGAAACAGAAATGGGAATATATAGTAAGATTCTAATTAAGATTTTACGGACCTAAGATAGTAATTATAAAATATTAGTTTCTTTAACCCGAAGCTTAATAAATTATATAGGAAAAATAATTATATTATAATAGAAACGAATATATACTAGCGAAATATTTATATATTTATAGACCAAGTTAGAAATAATAGTATAGATCTATAAGTAGCTATAGTTAGATAGAACCTATTCTCTTATCTTTGCGGTAAAGCCTTAGTATAATATATAGATAAGTTAGATAAGCTTTATTAGACCGGCCTTAAGTTTTTATAAAATAGTATAGAGAATTAGTATATAGTACTAATTAAGAAATTTAAAAATATACTAAATAAAGTATTAAGAAAGATATAAAAGAAACGGTTTACTAAAAAGGATATATATTCCGGGAAAGATATATAATTATATATTACTATAGTTATAAGATATATAAAAGCTATCGAGTTCCTAGAGATAATCTAGTAGCTTTCCTAAGCCTATAATAACCTTAACCTAGAGCTTTATATCTATATTTCCTGTCTAGGACTTACTATTACCCTTAGTAGCTTTATAGAGAAAGTATTAGTAAAGTTATAATTATAGAAAAATATATTAGATTTCTAGTTACGATTCTAAGGTAATAGATAAAGCTAATAGTAGTTATTCCAATAAGAAAATAGAAAAGGTAATACTAATTTTAATATTATTATAAGAAATAAGGTCTGCTAATATCCTATAATAAGACTAAATTTTAGACTAGTATTTAGATCTTTTATTCCATATATAAATTTCAGACCTTAATATTCTTTTATTTCTTAATTCAAACCCAAGACTTAATTCGATACTAACGAGAAACCTAAGCTAAAGCCTCTACTAGTTCTAAGACTAAGATTAGCCCTAATAGCAGGTTTCATATAGGAATAGGGAAGATAAAACGGGCCCTAAGATAGTAAGCCCTATTACGGATCTAGCTTCTTTAATAATAGCTCTTTATAAAATAGTAGTAGATTCTGCTATTTCAGATACTATAACGGGGTAAACTTTATAGAAAATAATTACTATAATATACCTGAGGAATATAAAGACTAATATAATAAGGAATTAGAGAAAAACAAATACTTTATTAGTAAAGAGATATGTTTTCTTACTAAGAAAAAGTAATTCGAGACTAGTAAACCCGAGAATAAAATTTACCTGACTATTAATTATATAGTTCTCAAGAAACTTATATATTGGAAATACCAGGAATCTTTCCTGTTTTATAATAAGCTCTTTAAATATATCTATATAAATTTATATAATATTAAATCCGAATAGGTTCCCCAAGATTCCTAGTAAGAACCTAATTCCTAGTATTAGGAACCGCCTTCTTATTCGAGTTCTTGTAATATAGAACCCTCTTCCTAGAATAAAGTATAAGCTACTTTCCCGGTATTTCTAGCTTATTCCTATTCTAATATATTAATTCCCAAGGTTCCTAATATAATTAATACTTTACTAATTAGACTAACCGGTATATTTATTTCCGGATATATATACTTTATATTTAATATATAGTTTACTATAAATAGAAAGAAATATAAGATCTATACTAATATAGGATATTCCCGACCTCTTATAAATAGGAATTAGCTTATAGGATATCCGGATATTAGTATTAATACGAAATAGTTTATAATAGTAAAGGGAATCGGATCTAGGCTAAAGTTATACGGGCTAGTAATATTTATATTATATATATCCGGTAAGATTAATAGCTAGAATACTTTTAGAAAAGTAACTATTAGAGTTTGGATTACTAAAAATCTTAAGCCTTATTTGCTTTTAGGTAATAAATTCTTATATCCTTATAATACTATTATTAATTTAAAGAAGAACGAGATTATTATTAGTACTTATAAGGATCTAATAGCCCCGATTATTATCTATTATAAGGGTAAACATATTATATATAAAGTATTAACTATAAAAATAGTTATTATTTTTCCGAAATCTATAATTATTATTTCCTTAATATATATATTATTACTAAAGAAATATAGCTATATATTTAAAGCTTCCTATAATAGTACTCGTAATATTATTATAGAATATATAAACTTTATTATAGTTATGAATTTTTCTAATAAAGTAAAAAAGATTTTAATAAAAACTAGACTTGAAATAGTAATAGAATTCGAGAAAGAAGGCTATTACCTAATATAAAACCTAAAAGTAATAAAGGAAACCTAATATAAGGAAGTTTTCGATTTTTAGGACTTTTCTAATAATAGTCCTATAATTAGTATCTCAAAGCTATTAAATATTCCCGAAATTATAATAGAAAATAGTATTTATATTTATAATTTCGAGCCCGAGCTTACTAAGCAGATTTAAATATTAGTTATTAAATTCACGATATATTAGGAAAAGAAAGGCCTAATTAATATACTCGAGAAAGAAATAATATCTATTTCTCTTATAAATGGCTAGTAGAATAGGAAGATCTCTATAAAAGTCTATCCTATTAGTTTCAAGAATCGGAAAGCAATTAATAATATCTTTAATAGTCTATATATAAAGAACCTAATAAATTAGGTAAAGTTCCCGATACTATTCGGTTATATAGTATTTATAATCTAAAAGATTATAAAGGGGAAATATAAAATATATCTAGTAATTAATCTCAGACTATTAAATAAATAGGCTATTTCTAATACTTATCTAATACTGCTTTAATTAGAAGTTATTAAAGCTCTATAAAATATATAATATATCTCGTATATTAATAGTTCTACTTTCTTTTACTAATTTCTAGTTAAGCCCAAATATAGGAAATACTTTACTATTATTAGCTACTATAGCCAAAAATAGTCTAAGATTATATTAATAGGATTTAAGAATTCCCTGGTATATATTTAATAATTTATAAATAAAAAGCTATACCTATATAGAGATTTCGCTTATATATTTATTAATAATATAATTATTTTTTCTAAGACTACTAACTAATATATTTACTACTTTTAATAAATCTTTTCCCTATTTACTAAAATAGGTTTTTTCCTTTCCCTAATAAAGTTCTTTCTAACCTATCCTTCCGTTTAGCTTCTTAAATACCGAGTAAACGAATTCGGAATATCTATAACTAAAAAATATATATTAGTAATTAAGAATCTTATATTCCTATTCTTATTTAAGGAACTTAAAACTTTTATTAGAATAATAAGATTTCTCAGATAATATATTTCCTTCTATATAAAGGTAATCGAGCCTTTATAATAGTATAAGACCGAGATATTAGTAAAGAAATACAAGTAAAATTAAATTAGACCTAAGAGAAAGAAGTTCTATACCTATTTTACCTGGGAACTAACTAATTTAGAGAAAGCCTCCTTTAAGTTAGTAAGAAGTTATCTTTCCGATTCTCGATTCCTAATATATTATAATCCTGAAAAAGTTACCTATATAAAAATTAATATCTCAAATACTTACGGTTTTAAAATTATACTTTTTTACCTTAAAAAGAATTATAAGATACCTAAAAACCTAATAAAGATTTCTTCTATAATAGTTTAGCCTATTTTATTTCTTAATAAGTTTCTTAACCTTATAGAAAAGAATTATTATCTAATGAAGCTAGAAGTTACCTGCCTTATTTATATCTATTATTACCTATATATTATATTTCACTTATTAAAATATCTAATTATTATTCTTACTAATTACTTTACTACTTATAAAATATATAATTAAATTATACTTATAACTTCTAATACTAAGTAAATATATACTTATATTATATATTATAATACCTTTCCTAGTTTAGCCTAGAAATATACTATATTTCTAGAAAAACGAATATTATTCCTAATATACTTTTTAGACTTTATATCTTTAAACCAAAGGATA